TATATATATATATATATATATATATATAGATATATGTGTGTGTTGGGGGAGGGGGGCTAGCGAAACTCTACATTTTGATTAGCCAAAAGCTTATTATTAATTACTAATAATAATTATAATAACTTATTATTATTATTAAATATTAATAACAACGCCGACTGTTGTTTGGTAGGCGGGGTCCTCTGTACTGTTGACAGGGTGGGGTGCCCTCCTTGGATAACAGTAAGAGAAACGCTGCTTACAAATCTCTCTGTACGTTTGTGTGAATACTTTGGAGTCTGATTTATCTTCAGATCATCAACCTGATTTAAACTTCAAACAAAATTCTGAGCACAGATTCTCTGAAACCTAAAGAATAATTATTTTGCTCTTCACTGAAGTATTAAAGTTTTCATTCCAACAAGACTTAATGAACTAAACAAGACAAGTCAACATGTTGAGTACGACGACACATTCTGTAGAATGGATGTCCATGCATCACATTGCTCGTTGATGGTTCTCTGGGTAGCAGCGGCAGCTTGTAGCTACTACCACATCGTTTTCTTCTTCCTCCTCTGGGTGGAAACGTGTACACAGCAGAAACTGAAACACCTTCAAACACTGGCTTTTAGTGCAGAAGGAGCTTCTTACATCTCCTTCTTGTTCTCCTCTCTATTGTGTGCTCACTATAAACAGCCGAGATTCTGCACTTCCACCTTTGCGTTTCTCAGCATGCTGCCATTAACATGAAATAATGAATTATTTTAAGACATTTAAAAATCAATTCAAAACAGTTGTTTGCCTCTCTATTGATCAAAAAACAGATTTAAACCCAATCCTTATAAAAGTAATTGCCCCTTTGTAAAATATATAATTAAAAGATCTCAATGGGATTTGCCTGGTTAAACAACGGTTAATAAATAATAAATAAAAGCTGGCTTACAATCTGACATTATCTTATTTATTTACTTTTGTTCTATCAACAGCCCAAAGCACAAACAGCTGTGGCAAAAATAAATTGTTTAATGCATTTTAAGAATATTCAAGTTTTAACAAGTTTCAGCTCCTAAATATTAAATCAGAAACAACAACAAACCATCCTGTGACTACATAAAAGTTACGTGGCAACAATGGTGGATGGGGAATAGAAAAGAATGATAAAGAGACAAGATTGTAATCAAAATATACTGAATAATGTGTTTTTGTATTTGTTGTACTTTATGTGTGAAGTATTGCAACTACGGGACAAAGCCTTTAACCTCAAAGACAGGGGGCACAGCTCCACCGCAACTACAAGCAAACGTTATAAAATAAAATCCAATATTAACCAAACCCATTAAGGAGGTCAGTGGGACAATTTTGGAGGGAAATCACCCCAACACAATGCACAAAACAAAAAGCGTGGCCTTGTGTAGCTAACAAGTTCCTTTTTCACACGTCCTCACCGTGACACTGCCTGACTCCATCGAGAACTCTGGTTCACCCCACTCCAGCTGTTGGGGGAGAGGGCAACTGCCGGGCAGGAAGATTACTTTTACCTATTATAACTGGATGAACAACAACACACACACACACACACACACAACTAAATACACACAGAGACAAAAAAGCGTCACATTAAGCCCATCCCACCTAATGGCCGTAGCTTCATACTGCTAACGGCTGCTCAGGGATGCAATGAGATTTGCCATCTATATATCCATGACCCTTAGTTGACTTCACTCCCCCATTTGCCTCCCCCCTTGTGACCTGGCAATGGCACTCTATTAGGGGGAGAGGAGGGAGACGAGAGCCAGAAATAGGGTCTGGCATCCTTTTTGAATGGAGCACCCTGATGCAGCCATCAGTGTGTCGAGTACACAAATGTCCCTGCAGATGGGGTCAAAGCTAGTGCTTAGCCATTTGTTTTGATTTTTCTCCCCTTCGCTGCCTTCACTCGCAACACACACCCAACACACACACACACCTCTTTGGGAAATCATAACTGCTAGCAATGTGGCAATGATGCACTGGTAGAGAAACCAGCAAGCAAAGCAGGGTGATTACGCAACAGCAATATCTGCCTTTCCTGCACACAGTTTTGTCTCTGGCACACACACACCCCCCTCACACCATCACAAACTAACAAACACCAAGGGCACCAGTGCACAAAACAACACAGCACTGAGCAGCAACAGAGCTTCGTTTTCAGGAGACACGCATCAACAGACAGAAAAAACATCAAGAAACAAATAAACAAAAAGATGTGTGAACATGACATATTAACTTCCATACTGTTGCTGCAACTTTCTTATGATCAATCTAATCTGAGGTCTCCCAAAGTAACAAAAACCCTCACTTATGTGCAGGGGTTTCATTTATCTACGTTTGACTACATCATCCCCACTGAAGTCCACTATCCTAAAGCCTAAAGTGAACGTACAAGTTTAATAAGAACACTTTTTTGATGAAGTAATGCAACAAAAGGAACCACTTAACTGATGTGCCCTCGCAGACTAAGTGATTTTATTTGCCTTTGAGATAGTGCAGTAAGTCAATCGGACGCTAAGTGAGTGAGGAGGAAGCTGATCTTTGTTGGTTTTCATAGGTTGACAATCTGCAGCCAAGCAGGTCACTGTGTTAGGCAGAGCCCACGTGACTCGCAGTTTGCTCTCTGGACTAATCCTACTCTGTGTTTACATGCATAAGCATCTTTACCATCAGCCCCTTTGACTCACACCCCACTACAAAACCCAGACGATGCTTTCAGCTTGCCAAAACAATGGTTAGAACCAGCCTCGTTGCTCCAGCTGTAATGGTAGTTGTGGTCGAACAAGGTATTTGGCAACATGTTTATACATTTGTTAAAAGAAAGTTTATTTTGATGTTTAATGTGAAATGGATTTATGATGCTCAGTTGATGCCTAAACTTTCATTTCTGTGGACCAGTAAAGTGTGCGAGTGTGTGTGCACGTCTCTTAACCTTACAACTGGAGGTTAGCAGACGGCTGCTCTCTCTGATCAGGTTACAGAGGTGGGTGTGTTTCCTCTCTTCTCTGTCGCCTGCATGTCTGCCTCCCCCTCTTGTTCTGTCTCTGTCCCGTCCCTCTCCCTGCTACTTCTCAGTTTCTCGCTTTCTTTCTGGTTTTAGAGGTTTGAAGCTTGCATCATTCAGGCCTCGCCCTCTGGCTCCACTACCGACCACCTCTTTCTCTTACACTTGTCTGTGTTACTTCCTTTCCTCAGATTTCCTTCTTCCTTCCTCTGATCTGCTGACGACTCCTGACGAGAAGCAATCCTGCAGCTGGTCCACGCTCCCTTGCAGGAGGCTGGGAGCCATATGACCACCTCCTTCTCCTCCATCTCTCATGCTTCTGAAAACTGGTCCACCAGCTCACTTTGCATCCGTTCAATACAGCAGCAAACATATTTATTTTTCCACTCAGACTCCTTTTATAATTACAATATAGCAGCAGCTTAAGGAGGATAGTTGTGTACTTGGTAGTATTTATTTGACTTTATGCAGTATTGCACTTCCTGTCACAAACACTTATTGTCACTGACACACATCACAGCTTGTGGATAAAAAGATGCATCTCAAAACTCAAGATGGAAATTCTCTACTGTCCAATTTGCTAATAGTCAATTACAGCTCATATGAGACTGATCAGCTCAAACAAGCATAGAAAATGCAGAGGCAGAGTTTCAGGTTCTCTGTTGTGTGAAATGCAAAAACGCTTCCATTTTCACAAGCCAAGTGCTCTGTTGTTCCAAAAAGTTATCTGAGAAACACATCAGACTTAGGCCTGTTTGTAACAACGCCCCCAGCTATTCTTGCTCTTTAAAGCATTTCCATCTCCACACTTTACACTTTTACAATCAGCTTGATCTCAAACAAAGCAGTTATCACCAACACCCCAGCTGGACTTGGTAAAACAAAGAGAATACACTGAAAGTGTTATAGCCCACAACTTTCTGACATACTAACGTAAACACAGAGCTTACTGTTCCTCAACAAAGTGAGCAGATGTGTACCTTCACAGTGTATTCCAGACTAAAGCGACAAAGACACTTTTACATGTTCTTTAGTGGTTTAAGTACAGTGACATTACCTTGTCTTTTTCATGTGGAAGCAATCGGACAGGTGGTAGCGACTCCAGAGACACCGTTCCGGTCCCGTCGTCTTGAGAGCTGCTACGGCTGACTAGTTGAAACAGTGGACCCTGCTTGACCACACGTCCATGGGCCACAGCCCTCTTCAGGGCTACTCTCAGCTGCTGGTGGAAGAGGCCAGGTCCCACAGAACTGCTGCTTGACAGGTAGGCTGCCACGTCAGCCTGACACTTGAGAAAGCGCTCAATGTTCTTCAAGCTGGAGCCTCCGGGCTCGTGAAGCCCCTCCAACGCTCGTTTGATCAGTTTGTTCCAATCAAGACCTGGTTTCTTTCCTGAATGCGAGTGAGATACACCACCGCTGCTGCTGTTGCTGCTGCTGCCGCCGCTCCCTCCTCCTCCTCCTCCACCACTGCCACTGCCTCCTGTTGTTGCTGCACCTCCTCCACTTCCAGAGCTGGTACCACCTTTTGGCTTTTGCACAATCACACGCCCAGGGTTGTCTGGGTCCTTGTAGGAGTTCAGACCCTTGTTGGTAACCTTAAGGATGGTGCCATCTTTAACACTGAGGTCTAACTGCTCCAAAACCGTTTTGCGGTCCAGACCATGGGACATAGAGACGGCATTGGATATCCGCTCTTCTGATGGTCTTTGCTTCTGCTTCTTGATTTTCTTGATGGCCTCTAGGATCCATTGGGTGTACACTGGGTTTGCCAGTTTCACCATCGCTGCAGTCTTGGTGGGTGCAGGAGCCCGAAGGCTCTACTGCAAGGACCCCACACACACAAAATATGAACTGTATGCCAAGGAAATGCCTGGCCTGCGCCGTAGCGCCGCCGCCACCTCCTCTACGCCCTCTACCTGCTGTCTATCCCTTGTCCTGGGGCCGCACAGAGAGTCCCTCAGAAGCTGAGTACGAGCAGCACGGAAAAGAGCAGCTGATCATAGCACTATCCCCCTGAGCCAAGCCTCTACCCAGTAAAATCTAATCCACCCACCGCCCACTTTCAGCCAGGTAAAAGTCCCTGGCATAAAGCAGGGAGAGGAGGAAGTAGCAAGTCTCTTGTGAATTAAAATCCCACAGCACTCGCAGAGTAGGGCTGGTCTTGAAGATATAGGGTTTAAAAAATGTCCTTTCACATCAAGAGCTTAAAAAATTAAATAAATAATACAAAAAAAAGAAAACCTTAGGTCCTCCCAAAAACAACCATGCAGTTCCAAATATAGCGAGTTCGTAGTGTGAGTGGTGCGGCACGATGGAAATCTCCAGATCATAAAGTTAGTGTTGTGATGATAAAAGGTGAAGAAAATACAGCAAACATCCTCGTTTCCTTGACGCCACTTGTTCTTTTTCCTCTCTTCCAACTGCGAGGGCCTTTCAGCTTTGGGTAGGAACAGATTTCTCACGCCAGGAAGCGCTGAGGGCTGATCACCTTCATCCCTGCTGCACCTCAGCAGCTGACGTAAACTGCAAAATAAAAAACAACAACCCAAGGAGGAAATAGTTAGAAAGATTATATGGGTAAAAATAAAAATCAGAGAGGATCTATTACTCAGACTGACAGAAAAAAACACATTAATGCAACAGGAAATGCTTTCATTGCGCTACACTTTCTCTTCGACACATCACACTTATGTTTACATGCTCCTAAAATCTAGAAAAAGTGAGCAATCTGATGCATGCAAACTTGATCATCTTCTCTGCAAAGTCAAAATGTCAGTCAACACTGAAATTAATGAGAACCACAGCTAGCAAGAACGCTATCACAATATAGAAATAAAGCTTTTTCATTCCTAATAAAAGCTTTAAAAAAGTATTGGGAAATGCACAATATTTCCACTAATTGTACAAATATCGAGGACCAGAGAAAACCAAAAACATAACCATAAAAGCTGCACAACTAGGTTGACAACATGAACAGCCGGGTTGCTAAATGTAAACATGATATAGTCAATAGGCTATAGTGTTAGCAAACATTAGCCGAGAAGCTAGCTAAAAGAACCATAAAAAGCCATTTGGCGCAACATAAATGTTGTTTTTAGCCTTATTGTTTACATTTACTACTATAATATTAGACAGCTACTTATGTAACACGATTTCCCGCTAACTGGTGCCGTTTGGAAAGCTCATGTAGCCAACGAGCTAGCGTTACGATACTGTTACTAACGTTACTCGAAACGTAAACAGCATGAAACGAGACGTTAGCCAGCACTTCCAGCACAAAAAAAACCCACATTCCCCCTTCAGAGCACATTTCCGACAAAACCGAATCATCCGTCCGCAGGAAACACAGCGAATAATCTCGTTCTGAATGCCATTCAGACACCAACGTGAGATCGCGGCCTTGGAGAAGGCACAATGCAGCTTGCAGACGGCCATCTCGGCTAGCGGGCAAGTGCAACATCGAAGGTACCTCTGCAGCGCTGCACGTTCTGCGGCCTAACGCAGCCCGGGAGAGGAGCCTCTGCCAGCTCAGGCGCAGCCCTGCGAGCAGTCCCCACCGAGCGGACTTCCTCCCTTTAGCCTTCAGCCCGCGGTGCCGTGGAAACAAGGCCGCCAGAGCGGAGCAGCTAGAGGCCTTCGCTTCCCCCCGCTAAGCCTCCCCCACCCACCTCCGCGATCACCATCCCTCCGTAGCCCTCTCTCCCGCTACCTCTCGCGGTTCTCCAGAAAACCAGAGCTGCTTCGGTTCTGGTTTGCCGAGTGAGGTTCGGGTAAAGCGCGCCGAGAGACAAAAAATGTCTCTTTAACCTCCATCCGCCTTCCGCTGCTACTCACCGGAATTTCGTGTCGAGCCGCGGCGCAGAAGCTGCCGAAACCGAGCGAGACGAAGACAACAACAAGGCTAAAAATGCAGTCAGAGACCACAGGCTCCAGAGCCGACGCCATCTTTGAGTGAAACAGGAGCGCGGCTGGTGGGGGAGGGGGAACACTGAGGCGTCAGGCAGGGCCCAGGGACCGTCCGCATGGTGCGGGCCGAAGATCCAGGGAAGAAACGTAAACCGCAAGGCGCGGGGGCGGCGTGCTGTTGCTATGAGAGGGGTGCGGATACATAAAATGGAAGAAAGGGATAGATGGTGGTGGTGTTGGAGGCAGAGGAGGGAAATAATAAATAAAATAAAAATAATAAAAACGATAGGTGTTCACGCGTTTTCTGCTGTGCCACAGCTACATGGGAGGAAACTTAAGGGAGCGTCTGCCTTTTTCCACCTCTTAGAATTTGTAAAAATAAAATAAAAAATGGACGTGGCTCCACATTAGAGGGTATTTAAAGAGCAAAGTGAGAAATCCTTCCCTGCTGCTGTCTATTGTGAAATATGTTTGATAGTTTTGTTTTTTTACTGAAGATGAAAAGTGAGCCACACAGACTCAGTCCTCAGGGCTGATGAGATGTTGCAGTGTGTAACTGTGTGTGCATTACTGTAAATGATGGAGCTTATTATCTGTGCAGAGATGGTTGCTGATCATCAGAGTGACAGGATTTCTTTCTTTACAGGAAAAAAGTATGCAAGGTGTTTGCAGCCGATTCACTAAGATAAATCTGATTTATTAACAGCAATCTAACAAACCATTTCCTCATAATTTATGCTTGGAAAATTAGTTTTTTTAAAACATATTTATTGTAATTTCATCCTAGTCACAGACTAGATCTCATAATGTGAAGGGATGATAATAATCCCACTTATTCAAAATGCAAAGTTTTACTTTGACGGTGCAGAAATGATCAACAAGAAAATGTTTCAGTTTTCAGAAACCCAAAGCTTAAACTTTGATTTTCTGAAAACTGAAACATTTTCATTCATAATTTGAATCATGTATACTGATGATGCATGAACAATTCACATGGGATGAAGCAGATTTTGCTGCTTCACTTTTAAAATTACCAGGAGCACTTGTTTAGGGAATCTGGCAGCGATCTTCATTTTCTATTACAGTGCAATGCCAAAAGCTCCCTGGATGGAAATTAAATTATCTGGAGCTTTTGTGTAAAACGATGTGCACGGCAGTCCTCGGAGATAGATTATAGTTTCTTATAGGGAGCAATTAGACTGGATGTTTTCCCATGTTAGAGGTGTCTTGTGAGAGGGTGAGACGCTGTCAGCACAGCAGTGATCAAATATAACCAGGAAGGTCGCGCTTTACTCGCTGTGTGTGTAGCACTGCTTCAGGGACAGATAAATTACATTCCAATGACAGGACGCTAATTGTAATTAACGGCAGCGTTATTCCAGAGATAAACAGTGTGAAGCGTTAACACTTGAACAGCTATTAGTACACCTCCAGAGGACTCATGTTGCATTAGTGTAGGCCAGCCAACAGATGGACAATACTCAGGAGAAGCGTGCACCACTACTGTCATTCCTGAAAATGAATAAATGATGATGTGTACAGTGAGCCACAGCAGAGGCCGTGCTCACAATTACACAAGAGACGCAGGCATGGAGGACTATACAGTCGTTTCACCATAGCTTTGATCAGATCTGTGATATTCAGACAGACCTAAGGACAAAGAAGTGGAGGCTCATACGCCTAAAATGTTTCCACTTTCCAAAGTGAGTTGACTTTCTCTGAAAATAAATAGATCTGACTATATATTAGAATAAGCAAATCACTTCATTTGCACTTTATTTAACCTTGGCTCGAAAACAATATACTAAAAGTTAAAACTGAATAACTTGGATTTTGCTTTTGAAAAATACTTTCTTACTTTAGATTTCAGACCAGCAAACTGTTTGAAAAAGGTTTCAGAAGAAAAGGAACAAACTGTCAGCGGAATAAATGTTTATGGATGTTTATGGCTGCTAATGTTAAATTAATGTTATCATGTGTGTGAGGTCAGAGTCTGTTCCTCTCGCTCAGAGAAGAGCCTGCAGGCGCCTGATGCAGTCTGGACGAGGAGTATAAAAACACTTCCTGCCTCACTGTCCGGTTTCAGGTGCTCACTGACGAGGCTCTAAGCATTGTACATCTGTGAAAGCTTGTTTCATGACCGTCTGCCCTTGCAAATAAACTTTCTTATGGCTCCTTTTCGTAAGTAGATAATGAAAGGATATTTATTTATCCAACACAAACAAGCAAACAAAGATAAGTACTTGGGTGTGCACCTGAATGATAACCTCAGCTGGGGCAACAACACCACCAGCCTGATCAAGAAAACTCATCAGAGACTCTACTTCCTCAGACGGCTGAGACGAGCTGGTCTGGGAAGCTCAGTCCTCACCTCCAGGTGTGCAGTGGAGAGCATCCTGTGCTCCAGCATCAACGTGTGGCATGGAGACTGCACAGCAGAAAGAAAAGCTTTGCAGAGAGTGGTGAAGGCTGCACAGAAGTCTGTTGGAGTCAGTCTCCCCACCATCACAGACATCTACATCTCCAGATGCAGGAAGAGAGCCACCTGCATCATGAAGGACCACACTCACCCAGCACACACACTTTTTGCTCCTCTCAGGAGGGTGGTTGAGGAGCATTAAGTGTAGAACCACTAGACTGAGGAACAGCTTCTACCCTGAAGCTGTCAGACTCATGAATATCTAACCAGAATAATCACTGTGAAAAATCACATCATGCTGCTGATCTGTTTCATGTTGCTGCTGATCTGTTTCATGTTGCTGTGTTCATTCATACTCATCTGCTCACACAGACTCATGTTCGTGCCGCTGTTTGGCGTATTGTTTTTAATATTACCATTGCTTAGTGTATTTTTAGTTAACATTTTTCTTAGTTCATATCTTAGATCTTATTACTGTTTTTCTTTTAATTTTAATACTTTTGTTGGATGTAACTGGGACCCTGTGTACATAATTTCGTCCCACCACATGTATGTGGTTCGTATGACAAATAAAGAACTTTGACTCCTTGAATCCTTAACTTTATTTTTTTTTATTTATTGCTGTGGAACAACAATCCAATTCTATCTGATCCTTTACAGTACAAAATATTGTCAAAATATTTTAATAGGCCAATAAAGGACATACAGCCCAGTACTAGATATGCATCAGGTACTTACCTGGTACATCCCCCATACATACTAGATGAGTACCCTATTCTTTCCAGGTATGTATGGATACACACTGGGTACATACCAGGTACCTATGGGGACCAGACAGTATTATGAAGTAACTTGTAGCTTTTACTTACTGTCTATATATCTGGTATGCTGCTACCTCCACAATATTGTAATGTAAGGAGCAAAGCTGAAATCCATAGTATCTGAGCTCTCTGTTAGCCCAGTGTTAGAAATATAAAATACTCTGTGGTGGAAAAGAGCTACCTCCTACCAAATTTGAAGGGGCGCCATCAAGGGGGTACCAGCGAGGGCAATGGCCCACAATGAGCTCAGTATTATTACCTATAAAGTAACAAAATGAAGGAGGTCTGTATCAGGTGGTAGGTTTCTAATGCCTGCATTGCAGTACAAACCGGATTCTAAAAAAGTTGGGACACTAAACAAATTGTGAATAAAAACTGAATGCAATGATGTGGAGGTGCCAACATCTAATATTTTATTCAGAATAGAACACAAATCACAGATCAAAAGTTTAAATTGAGAGAATGTATCATTTTAAGGGAAAAATCAATTGTTTCCAAATTTCATGGTGTCAACAAATCCCAAAAAAGTTGGGACAAGTCCATTTTTACCACTGTGTGGCATCCCCCCTTCTTCTTACAACACTCAACAGACGTCTGGGGACAGAGGAGACCAGTTTCTCAAGTTTAGAAATAGGAATGCTCTCCCATTCATGTCTAATACAGACCTCTAACTGTTCAATCGTCTTGGGCCTTCTTTGTTGCACCTTCCACTTTATGATGCGCCAAATGTTCTCTATAGATGAAAGATCTGGACTGCAGGCTGGCCATTTCAGAACCCGGATCCTTCTCCTACGTAGCCATGATGTTGTGATTGCTGCAGAATGTGGTCTGGCATTATCGTGTTGAAAAATGCAGGGTCTTCCCTGAAAGAGATGACGTCTAGATGGGAGCATATGTTGTTCTAGAACCTGAACATAGTTCTCTGCGTTAATGGTGTGTCACGCTCAGCGGCCCCCGCTGCCCCCCCATCTGCCTAAGCCTCTGCTCCTCATATCAC